CACCCTATTTGGCGAATAAGAGGTGTCATTTGTTACAGCATAGGCTCAGGCTACGTGACAGCCTTTGGGATTCCTTTCTTTATTGCATGCAAGGCCATTGGAGTTGATGGGTGGAGTCTTACAAAAAACATGTATATGTGCAGAATAGGGCCAGGATAGGTGGCAGCCTATGGGGTTTCATAAGCCCATGCATGTATCACGATTGGACAGTAAGGGAGGCGCCATTGGACTTGGCGAAAGAGTACAAAAATGAATGGTGTCGCCACCCCATTTGGCGAATAAGAGGTGTCATTTGTTACAGCATAGGCTCAGGTTACGTGACAGCCTTTGGGATTCCTTTCTTTATTGCATGCAAGGCCATTGGAGTTGATGGGTGGAGTCTTACAAAAAACATGTATATGTGCAGAATAGAGCCAGGATAGGTGGCATCCTATGGGGTTTCATAAGCCCATGCATGTATCACGATTGGACAGTAAGGGAGGCGTCATTGGACTTGGCGAAAGAGTACAAAAATGAATGGTGTCGCCACCCCATTTGGCGAATAAGAGGTGTCATTTGTTACAGCATAGGCTCAGGCTACGTGACAGCCTTTGGGATTCCTTTCTTTATTGCATGTAAGGCCATTGGAGTTGATGGGTGGAGTCTTACAAAAAACATGTATATGTGCAGAATAGGGCCAGGATAGGTGGCATCCTATGGGGTTTCATAAGCCCATGCATGTATCACGATTGGACAGTAAGGGAGGCGCCATTGGACTTGGCGAAAGAGTACAAAAATGAATGGTGTCGCCACCCCATTTGGCGAATAAGAGGTGTCATTTGTTACAACATAGGCTCAGGCTACGTGACAGCCTTTGAGATTCCTTTCTTTATTGCATGCAAGGCCATTGGAGTTGATGGGTGGAGTCTTACAAAAAACATGTATATGTGCAGAATAGGGCCAGGATAGGTGGCAGCCTATGGGGTTTCATTATTGCATGTAATATTATTGGCAGCCTTGGGGGGTTGCATCCTTACTTAATTGAAATTTTTAGCCTTACGTTTAACATAACATTGATTCACATAATCTGTCAAATCTTCCAACCTTCGAATCAGTCATCAAATTCATACATTCCAACCTTCAAACATTACAACATTCATACCTTCATACAATCAATAAACCTCAAACATTCCAACCTTCAATCCTTAAAACAATTCTACGCAATGGCCTCTTCACCACAATTTATCGTCAAAGCACATTTCAACAGTGAGACATACATTTGTCCCACAGTTGGGTTTTTGTTTAGAAACACCGGCAACGTTCGATTTCTCTTAAACGGGAAAGCCAATTTCTCGTACTTCAAGAAAAGATTGGAGGCCAAACTTGAACGAGGCCCGGTGTCCCAGATATTTTATCAGAATCCAGTTTTTTTTGGAAACAACCAAGTAATTTTTTATAAGGTTGAAGTTCAAGATGACGAGGATCTCCAGAATATGATTTCCAGCCATGTCTATTCTGGATACGACTCTATTGAGTTGTACGTTTTGCTTCAAGAGCCTCCGGTGACACAGGAGGTAGAGCCTCCGGTGACACAGGAGGTTGATCCTTTGGAGAATGAACAAGATGAGGTAGATGCAGTTGATGATGAAGAAGAAGATAACGAGTTAGAGTTTAATGAAATGGTGAACGATGATTCTGACGATGATGGCATCCCTAGTATTCCTACAGACAAAGTCTACACACCACCTTCGCACATGACAAACTTCAACATGGGCGGAGATGAACCTTCTACTGACTTATTTTTCAAACCGTATATGCAGTCGGATGAAAATTTAAAAGAGAAGGACAAGTTTCGTAACAGAGAGGAATGCATCAGGGCCATTAAAAAATTTCACATGCTCAACTCGGTTGATTTTAAGGTGGATCGTGTCAACCCGGAAAGGTACAAGATCAAGTGTGTCCACCCTGACTGTATGTTCAAGCTGACCGCATCATACAGATTAAGGGGTGACTGTTGGGTCATAGGTTCCATGACTACCCACACTTGTGTAAGTTCCACTCAATCACAGGACCACCGAAAACTCAACTATGATCTAATCTGTCAAGAAATCCTACCCCTGGTCAGCAACGACCCATCTTTGAAGGTGAAAACAATCATCTCCCACATCACCATGGTTTTTAACTACACTCCGTCTTACCGTAAGGCGTGGTTAGCAAAGACTAAGGCGATTGAAAAGGTGTACGGAAACTGGGAGGAGTCATACCGAGAACTTCCCCGCTACCTGAATGCACTCAAGACGTATTCTCCAGGTAGTGTTTATATTCTGGAAACATTGCCAGCGTACGCCCAAGATGGTAGTCTACTGCATGGCAACAGAATATTCAGTCGCGTGTTTTGGGCATTTCAACCATGCATAACAGGGTTTGCATCATGCAAACCAATTCTACAAATTGACGGGACTTGGTTGTATGGGAAGTACAAAGGCACGCTATTGATGGCAGTTGCACAAGATGGAAACAATAACATTTTCCCCGTTGCGTTTGCCCTTGTGGAGGGGGAGACCGGTGGTGCTTGGAGCTTTTTCCTGAAAAATCTTCGGACACACGTGGCTCCTCAACCAGATCTCTGTTTGATCTCGGACAGACATGCCTCCATTGAAAGTGCCTACAATAATCCAGCAAATGGTTGGCATGACCCTCCTTCTACGCATGTCTATTGCGTCAGGCATATCGTTCAGAATTTCTCGAGGGAGGTCAAGGACAAAACATTGAGGAAAGCGGTTATGAATGCGGGATATGCATTGACACAACCCACATTCAAATATTACCACAACGAGATCCGTTTGTCTAATCCAGAAGCCGGTAGGTGGATCGACAATATTCCGGTGGAAAAGTGGACTAGGTCATACGACAATGGCCAAAGATGGGGGCATATGACAACGAATCTTATTGAATCAATGAATGGGGTATTCAAGGGCATACGAAACCTCCCAATCACTGCCTTGGTAAAATCTACGTATTTTAGGATGGCTGCGTTATTTGCCAAAAGAGGTGAAATGTGGAATGCGGTGTTGCAATCAGGACAACTATGGAGTGAAAGCTGCATGAAATACATTAAGGCTGAAAGTGCTAAAGCCAACACTCACATGGTTACACGGTTTGACCGACACAGCCACAACTTCATTGTGAAAGAGACAATCGACCACAATGAAGGCCTGCCAAGACAAGAATACATGGTCATTTTACCTTCTCAATGGTGCGATTGTGGCAGGTTTCAAGCATTTCGTATGCCTTGCTCTCATGTCATTGCCGCTTGTGCTCATACCCATCAAGACGCGCTTCAACTGCTGTCAAACGTTTACAAATCTGAAACGTTGCTCACTGTTTACAACAACAACTTTCCTTTGGTGGCAAAACCGGATTACTGGCCTGAATACAACGACAATATAGTTTGGCACAATGACCAAATGCGAAGGAACAAGAAGGGTCGTCCCAAAAGTAGGCGCATCACAACAGAAATGGACGATCTTGACAGGTTGGAAAGAAAGTGTGGTTTATGCCGTCAGGTCGGACACAATCGCAAAAACTGTCCGAGTCGGGCGTCTGGCTCGACCATATAAATATTGTAATACAATAAATCTTTTCAATATTTGTGTTGTAAACATTAGGGTTTTCCGTTAACAGATTTTGCTACAGTTAATAAAACGCGTACAACAATAATTAACAATATTCAATCTAGGAAATTACAACTGTTAACACAATTTCATCTGACCCATGCATCATCAGCATTACATCACTGTCTGTTTTGACTTCCTCCAACCACACATTAGGTCTTCCTGTCGCATGTGAGGTTGTTGTTCGTTTTCGCTGGATCCTTCGAATTTTTTCCCCCTCCGCGATGTCTCCATCTAGCCACCGCATCAACTCCCGCTTCAGACGCTCCATGGAGTGAATGTGCCAGAATTTCATTTTCATCGCAGGTTTCGTGGCGGAGAATATAACGTAACCATCTGTGCTAAAAATCATAGGCGACGTCATTACGCAAATAACGGAGTACAAAATAAAAATACAGTGCGAGAAAGTGTGAGAAATTTCAAAGAAACGGACGAATTATTTATAAAACAGCATTTTGCCCTAGTTTTGCCCTAGGCGCCAAGTGAGATGGCGCCTCCTCTCATTTTTAAGGAGCATGCGCCATCTCACTTGGCTAAAAGCCAAGGGAGGCGCCAAGTGAGATGGAGCCTAGGGCAAAACCCTAGGTGCATGCGCCAAGTGAGATGGCTCCTCCTTTGTGGAGCCATCTCAAACGTGGTTATTTGCGTAATTTTTTCCGAAACCCGGTTATTTGCGAAATATTATTTTAATACATGGTTATTAATAAAAAAAATTCCTACTTTTCATGCAAACAAAGCTTTCAAATACCAAAACTTTTGTTAAACCCTTACTCAAAACATTGTTAACTATAAAACGACGGTAATATCACATCAATCCCTATGGATACGATAAATAAAATACTCACCCTACAAAAGTGTTTCAACAAGACTCCAAACACAAGCCCCAAACTTTGCCAAAAGTGGTGCAACCATGAGCATGTCACATAAGGCATTTTTCCAAATTTTCCAAAAATACAATTCATGGAAAAATTTATGAAGACTTCTCTATGAAGTTTGATCAGAACACACTCATTCCAAACCTTAAATACAAGTTATCCAACCCTAGAACAAGAGCACAAAATGGCCATTTGGAGCCAAAACCAAAACTTGGCCATGGTGTACCTCATTGCCACTTTTGTTTGAATTAAGCCAATGAGAAGCATTGAGACCTCAAAACCTATCCCAAACCTTTATCCTAACCTAAACAAAGCTGCTATAAAACCTAACACAAGCTCATTGTTGTTGTACACATAAATAAACTTCAAAACACCATTGTTGCAACTTCAAAACCAAATTTTCAAAAATCATTCCTCCTTCAATCTTTTCACATTTTTTCTTCACATACATCATCAATACGTCAAGCATAAGTTACTTTATGCAATAGTTCATCACTGTAGCCTCTAAAACGTGCCACCCAACCTCACTTTCTTTCATTTGCAACTTGACTTGGGTAGAGTGTTTCAACAAGTTTAAGAGCAAAGTGACCATACCATTGCACTCCTGGTAACTTAAGGAAGTTAAGGGCATCGTTTTTTTTCTTCTGTGTTGCTCAAAAAAAGGCGTCAGCGCTCCTTCATCATGTAACTTTTTACCATCTTCGAACTCTATCATTTATGCATCATTTCAATTCATTCTTGTTACAGCTATGTTCATTTTGATGTGTTGATTGAAAGCCCTAAACTTTTGAACTTTGATTATTGATGTATGAGATGTAATTTCACTTTGAAAGTTTAGGTTTTCTCTAGTTTTCTCTTGATTGTGTGACTTTCGGTTTGAATCAATAAAAATTGATACCATACTCATATTCCTTGCAAAATTTCGAGTGAATTGGTATATTATATGTTGTTTTTGATGCAAAATTGTTTTGGACATGATAGAAATGTTACAATAAAGCGTGAGGAAGGAGAAGATAGATACCCCGCATGATCTTTGGTTCAAACATTTGTGTTGTTTAATTTTAATTGGTCAGGATGTGTATTTTATGTTTTATTTCATTTAAGTCATTCCATTAACGACTAAATGACAATAATGCAGTGGTAAAGCGTGTGTTTGCTGATTGAAGGGTCTTGGTTTCAACACCTAGGAAGACCCTTTTTTACAACCTTATTTTTTTTATTATTTTGTCATTTCTTTTTTATTTTTCTTTGTTTCTTTTATTTTGTTTTCACTTATATTTTCCTTTATTTTTCTTTCACTTAATTTTAATCCTCTTTGAATATTTTAAAATAAAACAAAACTATTTTTAATTGTTTTTTCTTATTATTATTTATTTTGATATTTTATTTTAATTTCTTATTTATGTTCTTTGTATTAGTAAGATTAGTTAAATGTGTGAATCATGACCTAATTTACGACCATGTCTTGTTGAGGTTTTTTTTACTTGTTTGTGTACCATGTCTTGATGAAACCTCTTGATTACATACCATGCCATGCCTAGTTGATTCCATGATGATTTGAATGTCATATTTTGATCTTGATATTTTCATTCTTGAATTTTTTTCCTCTCTTTGCTTTGAGGATTTTTCTTGTTGAGCTTTGATGATATGGTGATGTTTGAATAAGAAGCCTTGAATACATGTATGCTTAAATACTTGTTCCTTGGGACGTGGATGTTTGACACAAACCCTAATGCATGAATCCCAACACCATAATTTTGTTTTGAATTGACGTTGGTACTTTATCATGATGGATACCTTTGATGTTTAACCTTGATGCATGAGAACAAATCGATTCCAGATTTATTTCCCTTATTCTAGGAACAAATTAGTAAATATAATCAGGAGCCCGAATTTGTACAAGTAATTACATTAAATTACATTTAATGAGAACAAATAGATTCCTAATTTGTTTTCCTTATTCTAGGAATAAAATCGTGAATATAATCAGGAGTCCAAATTAACTTCTTATTCACATCCCCTCTCAAATTTATGTTGTTGGTCAATGAGAATCAATTTGCTAACAAGAAACTGATGACATGGATGAGGAACGGCCTTGGTAGGAATATTTGTAACCTGAAATTGAGTACTGACATGCGGGAGTGATATTAGTAGGTCATCATACGCGTCACAGATTGAATGACAGACAACTTCGATATGTTTGATGTGTTCGTGAAAAATAGGATTCACAACAATTTGGATAGCACTTGTATTGTTAGAATGAAGTGAGGTAGGCTCTATTTAAGGAAATCCAAGTTCAGCCAAAAGGCCACGAAGCCAAATTATTTCAGAACAAGCAGCAGACATGGAACGATACTCAGATTCAGTAGAAGATTTAGAGACTATCGTTTGTTTCTTACTTTTCCATTAGATCAACGAGGAGCCAAGAAACATACACTATAAGCACTCAATTTAGGAGCAATTCCAGCGGGAAAGAATAAACCACAACGACAAGTTCCTTTCAAGTATTGAATTGTACGATGAATTGCTGCCAAGTGAAGATAGCGAGGATAGTGCATGAATTGACTTACTTACTGAACAACAAAATATATGTCAGGGTGAGTATAGTTAAGTAATTAAGGTTACCCACTAGTTGACGATACAATAAGGGATCAGTCAGGAGATCACCATCATCACAATAATATTTAACATTAACCTTAAGAGGAGTATCCACTAGATTAGCGGATTGGAGACCATCCATAGAAATTAAATATGTGGCATACTTGTGTTGATGGAGAAAGATATTGTTGGATGTAGAATGAACCTCAAGATCAAGAAAATAATGCAAATTACCAAGATCTTTCATATGAAATGGTGCTTGTAACTGTTGTTTAAGGCTTTGAATGGAAGCATGATCAGAGCCAATAATATTCATATCATCAACATATAAAAGAAGTAGGACAATTTCAGTAGACGTTCTATGAATAAATAGAGAAGAATCATATTGATTCTGAGTAAAGGAGAACCCAAGTAGAGTGGAGCGGAATTTTTCATACCACGCTATAGGCACTTGTTACAAATTGTATAAGGAATGTTTGAGCTTGCACACACCCTTAGTTGACGAGAATAAACCTTGAGGAGGAGTCATATAAATATCTTTTGTCAGGTCTCTATGAAGAAAAGCATTTTCACACTCATTTGATGAAGAGACCATCTGTTAGAAGCAGCTATAGAGAGTATCGTACGAGCATATGTCATTTTGACAATCGGTACAAATGTCTCATCATAATCAATTCTATATTCCTGCTTATTTCTCAAGACAACCAATCTAGCCTTGAAACAGTTTAAAGACCCATCATAATTTAGTTTCAAGAATGCACTCATTTCCATCCTATGGGTTTGATATCAAGGGGACAAGAGACAATATCCCATGTAAAATTCTCTTAAAGAGCTTGAAGTTCCCCATCCATAGCTTTTATCCAGCGCACGTCTTTAACGGCCTGTGCATAACAAGTACGGATATATATATGCTAGACAGTGAGGCAGTCAAAGAAGTATGTGGGGAATCATACCTATCTGGTGAATATCTATTTGGTGCTCTAGATATTCAAACAGAACTTTGTGGTTTGTCTGGTTCATGATCGGGTGGCGGATCAATGTTAGGAGGGGCAGTGGGAACTTGTTTTCTGCATCGTCTGGAATATGTGATTCCTGGTTTGTAACGTTCTATAGATCGAGGTTGGGAAGAATGGTAATATCATTTGTGGGAAGTGTAAGAGAATGAAACATATTGATTATCAAAAAATGTAACATTCCTAGAAACTCGAAAACGGTGATTAGAGAAATCATAACACACAACCCCTTATAAGAGTTGCTATACCCCATTAACGAACATTGAATAGACTGTGCGTCAAGCTTATTTCATTCAAACTGAGGTAAGTGAATAAAACACACACATCCAAAAGTATATAAATCACTATAATCAGACTGAGTTTTAAAAAGACAGAAGAAGGAAGAACCAAATTCATTAACAGTAAAAAGAAGACGATTGATCAAGAATACGACTTTGGTTTTGTTTTGATATTAGTGGTGTGAAAACACTCGAATAGTGTTATCCAAATCCATTTAGACAGTGTTATCTAACACTATAGATGCTTGTTTTATTTACATACATTGAGGTTTTACTATATTAGAGTTTCAATTATGTTTATTTGTTTACCAATGATGTTGAGTGATGTTGAGCTAACAAAATCGATGACAAATAACCGATGTACATGCATGATCGATTATCTCAACATTATTTTCTATGCAAGGAGAAAGCTAAATATTCCCTTGAAGTTGAACAATCATATCGAGTGATTGTCACCTAATTTGTGAAAAACTGTCAGTGGCATTCTCACAAAAATAATGCAATACATACTCTCAAGCTTTTATTGGGGTATTAGAAGGATAATTAGTCAATAAACAATTTAGTTACCGATATTGTAAAGTTAGTTACTGATAATGTTATTCTGTTTTTGTTTTTTACAGCAAGTTCAACAAGCTTTGTTTCGGTGGGAAATGGCTTATAGTAGCTAAAGGTACATGTGAGGATTAATCAATATTGTAGGACATATTCGTCAATCTACCTTAACGACAAGATTGTCGTTAATGGAAAAGTAATGTGACGATGCATAAGAATAATATCGATAATTGTCCGATAATAAACATGTCTTAATTATTTTTCATTCCACAATAGAGTAAAATATACGACTAAACAAAACGGCCATACATAGATAAAACACCAAAAACAACCATTGATAAAATTAAAAGAAACTTACTCCAAATCGTCATATATAAAACGATTAAACCTTTAATAAAACCATAATTTATGACGCAAACATAATACAAAATACTAAATTTTCTTATTATTTGTTAACGCAAACTGAACGAACACGCGAGTAAAAACCCCAATCAGGATGAGAGCTTGTAATTGCTGGTATTCCAAAACCATTTTCCTTCACATATGATTGAACATCTTCAGCCTCAGCTAGCTTTTTCAAGTACTTGCATAGTTCGCCTTCCGGATCTACACAAATCACAAATGTCACACTACTAAAATACTAAAATCTCTAAACATGATAGTCATTTTTCTGAAAACGTGCAAGACAGACTACTGTACTGAATCTAAAATTTGTTAAGTTAATCTACACGATATCTTTTAAAAATGTTCTCTCACCTAATGCTTTGTCATGCTTATCTTCTGCATCATATGACTCAGTAAAAATTGCTGTATTAGGCTGAAAATTAATCATAAAAGTTGTTAAAATTTTATTCAAAAATATATATACATATAATAAACGTATATATAATACAAAAATGAGTATTATTAAATTACAGGATTAAGGAAAGCCTTGTAGGGTTTGTCATCAATCAGCAAAGTATTAGCAGCAGAATATGGGCCTCCTTTCTTGACTCTAGTCCACACTTTTTTCAAGTCTTTGAAAAAAAGAGGTTTCTTGTTATTCTCCAAGGATTTATAACCAGAATCGATACATTCATCTTGGTCCTATATATTAAATATACAAAACACAAGATTATTAAAGTAATAAAAAATGATTCCATATTTAAAACAGCTTCAAGTAAATAAAAGTACCCAAACAAAGAGTAGCTTGTCTTTTGATGATCCTATAGCACAGCTCAAAGCACCATCGATGTTATGTCTGTAAAATTAATTAGTTTAATCAGGTCAATACAGAAATAGAAGATAAACGAACAAAAAAGAGTGTTATGTTACTAACTCCATTGCAGAAGACCAGATTCCAACTTCAAATCTTTCTAAGCAGAATTTCATAAATTCTTCACTAAATGGCCTCTTAAAAACTGTATGACAAATTTTCAATACAATAATTAATCATATAATAAAAAGAAAATATTAAATATCATAAAGTGGATGTATGAGTAGATATTACGAAGAAAGTAACGATATTTGCAATCAGCAGTTCGAGATTTTGGAATTCCTTTCTTATTACGAACATGAACTCGGTGGAGAAGAAAGCCATTAAGGTTCATAATAAGCAATTTTTTCTTAGGACCAAGATTCAGCTTCTCAAGAGGAAGGTCCAATTCTGGTTCTTCAGTGTTTTTCTGATCATCATGATCATCTTCAGAGTCGCTGCCATAGCTGATACTCTTTCCCTTTGAACCCATTCTCAACACACTTGGTTTCTATTAATTTTGTTTGCTACTACTAACTACACTTGCTTTATATACACGAGAGGTAACGGAGAAGATAGTGTATTAATTAATTAATTAATTAATTAATTAAGTCATTAAAAGATAAAACGAACCGATTAAGTGTCCCTTAAACTATCTTCCCTTGTGTGATAATAAATTAAATTTGTAAGTAATGGATGCATAATAGGATTCATTATATTTTATTTTATCAAATTTTAAAAAATTTATATTATTTAATTTACAATATAATAATATTATGATTAAATTTTTTTAATAATAAAGTCTTTGCACTATGCTTTTTTTTTTCTGCTTCATCATATTCCGTACAACTTTATTAGGAAAAAAAAGACTTTTTTTATATTTATTAAAAATCATAATAAATTTCTTTTAATAATAAATATATATACTTACTGACGTTAAAAATCCTAAACTTATCCGGTTGCAATCAATATATATGTTCTATACTTAACTTAATAATGAAGCAAAGTTAATTTTTGTGAGTGTGACATTTTTCCTCTTTTAAAAGCATCCTTTCATTATATTTTTTAAAGAGAATATGTATATATAATTTTATAAGTTTGATTCATATTTTTCTCTAATAAAAATATAATAAATATATTTAAATATTTTTAAAAAAATTAAAATAAGAAGAGTTATATATATAAGAAGAAATTATATACTTATCAATACACTTAAATTTTTTCTTTTTTTTAATAAGGAAGTTATAGTATTTATTTTGTTATTTTTTTAAAACTAATTTTGCAAATGATTTTATTTTTGTTACATGCAAATGATTTTATTGTCAAGAAATTTTTATTCTTTTTATTCTCAAAAATAATTAAAATTAACCTAAGTTTTTTCTTTTTTTTAATAAGGAAATTATAGTATTTATTGTTATTTTTTTAAAACTAGTTTTGCAAATGATTTTTTTTTGGTTACGTGCAAATGATTTTATTGTCAAGAAATTTTTATTCTTTTTATTCCCAAAAATAATTAAAATTAAATAGTATTTATATTTCTGTTTTTTTTTTGAAAATTGAACCTTAATAATCTTTTAATTCTATTCTTATTTAAAGCATTTAAAGCAATCCATAAGTAATGTCGATTCTTATTCGAAGATTTTTAAAATTCTTTTATCTCTTTCTCTTTACCCCTTTTTGTTTCCGGTGAACTTTAAGTTTGTTTTGTGCCTTTTGGCTTACCATTGTATGAGTTTTGGTCTGTGCATTTATTTCTATAATATATTTATTTTAAATTGAAGTTAAAAAAAAAATAATTTAAATTAATAATAAATTTTTTCGTATATAAAAATATTTAGATTATTATTAAATTTTTTTTTATGTATATTATTTTTGAATCATACATATTTAGATCAAAAAAATTATTTTTCATATATAAAAATATTTAAATTAATAATAAATTTTTTCCCGCATATAAATATTATTTATTTTTATTACAAATGAAATATTATTTTTGTTTATGTATCGTTAACAAAAATATCTAGATCAATAGTAAATTTTTATATATAAAAATATTTAGATCAATAATACATTTTTTTCTTATATTATTTTTTAATAAAAAATATTTGAATCATAAATACTATTTTTCGTATATAAAAATATTTATATCAATAATATATTTTTTCCTGTATAAAAATATTATTTTTGTTTAGGTATAATTTACAAATGATATCTGAATCAATAGTAAATTTACGTGTATAAAAATATTTAGATTAATAATATATTTTTACCGTATACCATTTTAAAATAAAAAATATTTAGATCATAAATACCATTTTTTGTATATAAAAATATTTAATAACATAAATAAATATATTTTACCAGTGTTTGGATTCATAAAATATTTTGAATATATTTACTCTTATTTTCTTTAATTATATGAAAAAAATATAATAATTCATAGATTTACACAAATTTTAGTCAGAATACTTGTATGTTCCTACAGATATTGATGAATTGTGCACATTTCTTTTTAAAATATAATAAAAATTTAAACATTTATTATTTTAGTGTTTAATCCAACATTTTATTATAGGAAATGTTAATGATTTTTTCCATTCATTTTTAATATTTTGTCAAAGAATCTCAATATTTTTTTTGGAAACATGAAGCTTAATAATTTTGTGAGAGAGATTAATACAATTAGATTATACATATGGAATGATATTAAAATAAAAATATAATAAATTTCACACAGTCAATTCAGTAGTGTTAGCCAGGAATATTCAACCAAGAACCAACATTCAAATTCATAATCAAAACTTTATATTTTTCTTTCACTAATCCATAAACCGATAAAATGAAGAATTAATCCATGGTAAAAAAAGATACAAAATAATAGTGACATAAATTTGACATTTAATATTATTGATTATATTTTAATAAGTAATAATATTTAAATTGATAGTTAATATATTACAATTTTTAAAAAGAATACAAAATAAACAAATATAACGTGAAGTAGATAATAAGTAAGTTCATAAGTAAATCCACACACATGGGTAAACAATTTTTTTAAAAACATTGGATGCACATGCTCAACTCTACCATCATTCATAACACACATAAGTAAATTCTTTTCATTTCTCTATTTTATAATTTTATGCATTTTCCTTTGTATATAACCGAATAGTCTATTTGAAGGTGTATGAGAGATGAATGATAGAACATTGTTTAGCTATTGATATAGAACATTTCAGCCAATATGAGAGATATCTCTTTTAGGCAAAGCCATCAATGCATTACTCTTCCTTGCAACGTGATAATTTATTGAACACTTCGAAACATTTGAAAAGAGATATATTTAAATTGATATTAAAAATATATAAAAAAATCATAGATAATAACTTCGAGACATTGCTCTATTTGATTCATTTGGGCTGAAGTTTTCAAAGAACATAATTGGCTTAGTACTTCACTTGGATTTAACTTATCTTCTTTTGATTACGTTGGCAAACATAGATGTCTTTGACATTGGATAACCAACAATTGGAACAAAATTGGACGATTAGACAAAATTGGTGGTTAAAAAAACCCTTAGAAATATTAACTACTCCATATGTGCAACATGAATCTCCAAATTTCTTGTGTTCAACAGAACTACCAACTTGAATATCAGATCAATAGTTTTTGGAATCAGTAGGTTCCATATCTCACACCAGCATATTGTCGGTCACCATGTTTGAGAAATTAGTCTTTGATACCACACTTAAAGCAACTTTCAAAGAATTGGGATAGTTCTGTGAGAATAATTCAGTTTTCGAGACTGTTGTCAGCATGTATTAGTGATATACATCCAGCTGTACATCTGTGATTGACTTCTGTTAGGCTTTTGCTATTGGTTAAGTTTGTTATAGATGTTGTTATATATTGGTCCTTTGTAATACTGAAAATATACAACTTATCCTCTACTGTAACTTTTAGAATAAACAATTCTGGAGTTTATTGAAACTGCACAGAGTGCAGATTGATTGAATGCAAAGCATTCTTCATCTTCTACATGGTATCATCGTGATCGATCCATCCACATTCCGCTCATCTCTCTTCTCCTACCGGTGTCTCTGCAATATCTCTGTTCTTTGTTCTTCATTCTCATCTCTGCATCATGGCCACTGAAAATCAAGAAATACAGTCTTCATTCACCCCCTTCTCCACTGGCAACAATGGATTTGGACCTCGCCTCTCCATCAAGCTTCAAGAGAACAATTTTCTCCTTTGGAATCAACAGGTTGAAGGAATTATTCTTTCTCACAAACTTCACAAATTAGTTGTGAATCCACAGATTCCCCCAATCTTTGATTCAGAAGATAATCGCATAGCCAACAAAGTTTCAGCTGTGTATGAATCTTGGATTGTACAAGATCAAGCATTGTTCTCATGGCTGCTCTCAACGATTTCCGAATCTGTTCTTCCAAGATTCCTCTCCTGCAAACACTCATATCAAATTTGGGATCAAATCCACAAACATTTCAATGCAGTCATGAAAGCTAGGGTTCACCAGCTGCGTTCTGAATTGAAAACCACCAAGAAAGGGACTAGGTCAATCTCTGAGTATGTGCTGAGAATTAGAGCTATCGTTGATGCACTGCTAGCCATTGGGGATCCCATTTCAGAGAGAGATCAAATTGATTCCATTTTACAGGGGCTTCCGGAGGAGTACAATCCATTTGTCATGAGGACCTATGGCAAAGGTGAGCTATCCTCCATTTATGATGTGGAAGCTCTCCTCTATGTCCAAGAAGCACAACTTGACAAGTATCGTCAAGAACTTACACTTACCACGGCCACTGCCAATCTTGCCTATACTGAAGATCAGACAAGTTCCAAGACCACCAGAGGTGGCTTTCAGCAGTCAAGGGGACGTGGCTCTGGGTCCAGAGGTCGTGGCCGCACCAGGGCACGCAATGGTTACACTCAAGGAAATCGCCCTACATGCCAACTCTGTGGAAAATATGGCCATGCTGTCATCAATTGCTGGCACAGGTATGATGAAAGTTTTGAACCTATGGCGCCTAAAGCTAATCAGCAGCCTACTCAGGCAAAAGATCAACAGAAGAATGAAGCCTCAAATTCTGCACAAGCTTCTGCATTCCTAGCACATCAAGAAGATTTTAGCCTTCCAACAAATCTTGAATCACAGGCTTGGTTCGCGGATTCAGGTGCATCCCATCATATCACCTCTAGAAACTATCATAGTAAACACACTAAACCTTATTCTGGAAATAATGAAGTCATTATAGGAAATGGTAAAGGTCTGAAAATTGAATATGTAGGAATAACTCATATTAAGCCTAACAATACTTCCAATTATTTGCTAAGTCTGAATGATATGCTTCATGTTCCTAGCATAACTAGAAATCTTCTATCTGTTTCCAAATTTGCCAAAGACAACAAGGTCTTCTTTGAGTTTCACTCTAACAGCTGTTTTGTCAAATCTCAGGCATCTATGGAAGT